TATACATAGATACCTGAATACAAGAATACAAGAATATGTGTATATGTGAATACATGAATATATGGATATGTATACATGAATACAATTATACAATTATACATGGATAGATACATGTATACAATTTATACTCAATACTCTGTCTAGTATGATGATATCTTCTATCATAAAAAACATTTCAATACTCTCTCATTGTTCAAACAAGCAAGGTATTATTATCATACTTTAATCATACTATTCTATTACTCTCATACCAATCTCTATATCCACACTATACTATCATATAAGTACAATTCTTCTTATCATTGGAGTTAGTATACCCATTTTATACCATTCTCATATCATATTATATACTATCATGATATACTTCCAATGCTCCTCTTCTAGTATTTAACTAGTATTTAATCCTCACATTAAAACTATTCATTTTGTATTACTATACCTATCTGATACCATTCTTATATTATATTGTGTAGTATTATGATATACTTTCAATACTCCTCTTCAAGTATTCAACTAGTATTTAATCCCCACCTCAAAATTACCAAGTTGAAATTTGTATACTCTTCTGATACTGACATGATATTATATTGTATAATATTATGATATATCTTCATTACTTCTCATCTAGTATTGAATCCTCACATTAAAATTGTTGATTTTAAAATTCTGTTCAATATCATACCCTTCACATACTTTTTGAATTTCCATACACCAGTATTATGCTTTTATTATAAAAGTATGAAATGTAGCTTTCAAACAGTGTGATAAAATATTGTAGCATACTATTTGGATACTCTGCCTGCAATATTTGAATAGTATATAGATATTTCACTCTCATATTTTTTCCATACCAACAAAATACCTGTCAGACGGTATTGTTTGTTTCTTCTTGATACTAGCACAATACTGGCATCTCAGTATGTTGGTCATCTTTAATGAGTATCTGCTTAATATCATGTTAGTATTCAATATAAAAATGTGATATATTTTCATACTTTCAAGATATTCCCTTTATATCTACTCTCTAGTATCATACAAGTATCTTTTGAATATTATATATAATATTTTCAAAGTATCTTATCCTGAAGAATCATACTCTTAAAATATTGGTCAATCAGTATGTTGAAGATATTTTGTTCAAAGTTAAGATACTGTGATAGAAGTATTATTCTAGTATGTGAGCCAGTATTGAGGAAAAACATTTGAATACAATCAAAATACTAATCAGATACTTCAGTGTGGGTAATAAAATATATATCTTCATACCAATCACATACCTGGTGGATGGTATTTTGGGAAAAAATTATGTACCATCAAAATACTCTCAAAATATTCTCACGTCAGTATGTTGGAATGTTTGCAGTGCATTACATGGACCCTGATAGGTAAAATCATTCTCTGCTTGGTTTTCTTCACTTTTTGGTCAAATCAGGTGATATTTCCCTTTTGGGATGGAACCTGAAGTGGACCCTGAAGGCAGTGCCTGATGTTCTGTACACCATTTTTATATATATTCAATTTTTCTGCTATTTTCTGGCTATTTTTGGATATATTACCATATTTGGAACTGGACCCTGGACCCTGACAATGTTACCCAACATGATGATCAGCAATGAGCCCTAATTTTTCCTGATTTTATTGCCATTTTACATTTGGAAATGCACCCTGGACCCTGAAAGGTCAGCTGCCGCTAAAAATGAAATATTCATTGAAAGCGCCAGGTACACATATGAAAAGTGCAATGAAATCTCCTAGGAATAAGAATGAAATATCCATTGAAAGCGCCAGGCATCCAAATGAGAAGCACAATGAGATATCCTGGGGTTAGCAATGAAATATCCAATGAAAGTGCCAGAGATATATATGAAAAGCACAATGAAATATCCTAGGAACAAGAATGAAATATCCATTGAAAGCGCCAGGCATTCAGATGAAAAGCACAATGAAATATCCTGGGGCTAACAATGAAATATCCAATGAAAGCACCAGGTATCCATATGAAAATTGCAATGAAATATCCTGGGGTTGAGAATGAAATATATATTGAAAGCGCCAGGTGTGGATATGAAAATTGCAATGAAATATCCTGGGGTTGAGAATGAAATATATATTGAAAGCGCCAGGTGTGGATATGAAAATTGCAATGAAATATCCTGGGGTTGAGAATGAAATATATATTGAAAGCACCAGGTATCCATATGAAAACTGCAATGAAATATCCTAGAACAATGAGATATGCGATCTCATTGAACCTCTAGGCATTATACACATCGCCCTCCAGGCATATGTCTGGTTTTTATCATAAAAGTGTATACCACCCATCAAGGGGAACGGTACATGGTCTATTATCCATCTATTACTGAAGCTGACAATGTGCTCTAGGTATTGTAATATGGACTACATTTTGCTTTCCGCCCTAGCCCCGCTCCTCGTCGCGGCTGTTTTCGTCTCTTACGATATCGCTTGCCAGTTCAAGCTCAAGTTCGCGAAGCATATACCCAAACTACCAGCAGCAATACACCTCCCATCTTCCATCGCCGTTGAATGGGGTATCCCCAAGTGCCATTGCCCTATGCACAAGGTGCCGTGTCAGGCACCCCACTCCTTAAACTTCAAATCCGGCGTTGGTCGAACTGATGGCAAGGGAATAGAGCAGAGTTGGGCAGAGCTGAACCGAGTGGCCAACAGCACAAAAGAGATGGGTCCTGGGTCTAGGCATGATATGCTCGACGATCACCTTGGACACCACAATTTCAGAAAATATGTCGCCCTTGGTACGCTTTCCCTTCATCTTGCAACTCATCTGGTTCAACCGTTTGATCTAGGCCAGACATTACATACTCGCCTTCTACTCGCAATACCTGAACAGAAGCGTCAACAATCTATTTTTGAGGATTTCAGTGCTTCGTTGGCGGAGAAAGGGGGGCTGGAGAAAGAATGGACCCAGATGATATTGGATTGGGAGAAAGACCCCAAGAAGAAAAATCCATATCTCTCTGTGGTGTCTCGTGAGTCGAGGCATGTCTCTGTCTCTCCCCCACCTAATTCTTTTTCAGATGCATCTCAGGATGAGGTAAAGAAACAGCTGCTTGAGGAGGAAAAAAAGCAGGCAGCGGCGGGTATGCCCCAGCTTCACGACACCGGACCGACATCATTTCTTTCTATGGGCTTAATTATCGAGGAATCACAGTAAGTTATTTTTGCTTCGATCGATTGATTGCCGTTGCTCACTATTCAACAGACATAGAATTATTTGGGACTCAAGAAACCCTGCTGAGCTCACTATTCGACAAGAGAACGAGTTGCAACGGCGCCGCCTGCTGCTCCAACGCGAAATCAAGCGCTTCCGCAATCTTCAAGCACTCTACATGCCGGCCGCTACCGTGATGTCCGTGGAGCACGAGTCAATTCAGAGAGAGCTTCCCGAAACCCAACGTGACAGCATCGAACCTGAGCATCAACCCCTTTGGCTCCCCTCGGCTCTTCCTTCTGCCCAGCGCACCCACAACTGCAGTACGGTGCTCGTCGACATCGAGATAAAACTGTGCAAAGCGCAGTGTCATGACATATTGGACAAAATCCGAAATGTGCAACGAGGCCGACTCGCATTCATTGGCTTCCGTAATCGCAATATTCGGGGACAAAACCCAAACACAAGGGCCAAAGATACTCTTGATCGCCTGGAAGACAAAACGAAGTCTTTGGCTGTGAAATACCGAAACAGCCGGAAGGCACTGCTGGAATTATTGGGTCCGGGGGAGTGGGAGAAGACCCTGCGTAAATTGAGCAAAGGGGACCTCACCACCCCCGATGGTGAGGAGATCAGCATCTACGACCCAAATGATCCAGTGGGCCTCGATGGACGTGAACGATCGAAAAAACAGCGCAAGATCGACAAATTGGGTCTTGGACAAGGGAAGAAGACTGTCTCGTGGATTTGGATGAGCGCGGACGCGATCGGGGATGGTAGCGATGCAGAGCTACATGAAGGTAAGTGATCTCTTTTCTTAAATTGGTATGCTGAAACTGATTGGGCCTTTGGTAGCGGTCCACATTGAATGGGCCAAGGCTCGCGCACGATTTTTGAGGTGGACAGAGGAGGTAATGTTGTTGAAGGAAGAAATGCGAAGGGTTCGCAAGACGTTGGAGTGGAGGGCTATGTGGTGGGAACAGCGTCGAGAGGGATGGGAAAGTCAGGATGGGGCGATGCGTGAAGGTATAAGGGCATACGCGACCCGGCAGGCGGGTATACAACGTGGTCTTTGCCTTCGCTCTACACGGCTATGGGATAAGCCACTCGTACCATTTGGTAGCCAAGAGGAGAGTAACGAGGGACCTGGTTCTGCTCTGGATCCCCTCCTGGAGTCCCTGGTGGAAGAGGACGAGTAGTGTCGTCTTTCACCTGTCTTCTAATTGTTTACATTAGTTTGTCTGCAGCCTCTACAATACGAAGATTTGACACATTTTTGAAACTGCAACACCCGTTTCTGCCCAATATCAGGCTGGAAATGCCTTTAGGGAGGTAAGAAAGACCAATCCTACATTTATTCTGTCCATATATGTGGGAGGAGGAGCAGCACAATGATGCTTTTAGAGTTGTTTACATGTGTTGTGCAGGAGCATCAATCCCCAAAGGTCATCTGAATTCAGGTCACCCAATCCATCCATTTCTGACATACAGAGCATGAGGAACCAATTCTATTAAATCTAAATATAATACAGGATATATTTGGAGTGATTTGCAAGGCTTCTTTGTGGAAGAAACACACACAGATGCGAAAATATTGTTCTGGAGCTCAAAACTGAGGTTTGTTTGCAGGTATTGACATATTGACTGAAAAACAAATACAGGTCATCAATGGAGTATCAGGGATACCCCGAAATTATACTGTGGAGGCACCCTGGACCAATCCATATCCCAAAGAGCATGGTTAGATCCATGCTCGACGCAATAGGTATAGGTGGATGGGTCCAGTACACAAGGCATAGTCTTACAGCCATGGGTGACTTCCTGGAGCGTTGTGCAAGGAAACCCCATGTGCGAAGCCACTTCTGAGTGTCTGGGCCTTCAAATTTATCCCAGGATTTGTCTGAAATGGCGACGATAAACGAGACTTCATTGGCATGAAACACACCGTGATTTGCAAGTTTCAGAAGGAATCAGAGTGCTTGGAACAGTCGGTCTTTGCCCTTCCCCAATGATCCGTTGACAAGGGATGATCCAAAGGTCGGGCACGAAAGTATTGAGTTTAGTGACCTTTTCTAAAGAGCCACTCCCTGGGGCTCCATGAACAGTGTGAGGTAACACCATCCTCGCACAACAAGAAGACACCATTGTCAAACGCGGAAATCGTGAAATCGTGAATTATCGAAGGACTTGGTAGTGTTGCAGCGCAACCAGATAGCGCGCTTTTCATCATTGAGCTGAGTCTCATCCAGTGTCTAAACATTCATAAGGGTGGGTGTGCGAGGAGGATGTAAGATACGCACATAGGGTCCTTTGAGATTGAAGAGAGTTTCGTTGCAAGATGGGCGAGGAGAACTTCTGACGAAGCCATGGGGGAGGGTATATATATAGTTGGTGTTGAGAAACTTCGCCGTCATGACGTGGCGAAGACCTATACGCCGTGGACCACTTTAGGCGGTATGTTTTGGAAGACGGCGCTTTGTTTATTGGTAGACTCGAAGGATGTGAGGTCGAAGTCAGATTTACATAAAGCAGAAGAGAGGTGAACTGAGATTGTGAACTTAGTTCATCATGCCAATCCTGCACTGTCTCCACTTCCCCTCCTCAATAACCACTCTCTTCCTCCCAGCGCATCATCAAAACCAGGGGGCTCCCATCGGCGCATCCCATGAACGCAACTACCTCTGACATGTACCAATTCCCACGTAAGGGTCTTCACACTATATCAGGAAAAATGATTGATCATGCACCCAAATCCGTACATACACGTTAAATAGATCAGATAGATATGATAGACGTTCTTCCTTTCTCCCCCAATGCTTGCTTGCGCTTCTGCCATGGTTCGAAAGCGTCCTAACTATGAATTTCGACAAGAATTACAAGACACTGTGTTTGGAGAAATGATCAACAGTGATGCAGTTGAAGGGCTCCAAGATGTAATGGAGGCATCAAGAAAAAGAGCAGCCTCAAGTGTCTCTCAAATTTCAAGCACTCGACAGCCATCTCCAACAAAGAAGACACAATGTGGAAGGGGCAGAGAATGAGGGCAGGATGTATGTACTGATTTGATCTAAGCAACATGTACTCGCA